GGTGAATAAGGTTTGTGCTTAAAGGATGAGGCTTGAAGGATTTCAGCGTCTTGGAGGAGACTCCTGGCAAAAGGAAGCAGGAAACAAGGAGGACTTGAGAGAACCAGGCAGGAGGCACAGTAAAAACAAGAGGAATGAATGCTTGAGAGGCTTGTCCTCCTTCGAAGGTGAAAGAATCCTTTGTAATTTTGCCTGCTACCTCCGCAGCATATGCAGGTGTTTTCATTAAACAAGGAAGCATTTTTTTCTAGAGTATGAATATATTAAATGTTGATATTAGGGGGAAACACATCTACAAGATAGAAAAAATAAAACAAAATCAAACATAGCATGCAGAGAAATACCCTTTGGACTTTTTTTTTTAAGATCCTAGACTCTCAAGTTAGAACACACAGTGGAGGTACTCTAGTCAAACCCACTTAAAATAAACATGAAGAAACGGAATGCTCAAGAGTTTAGGTTACTTGCTAGTCGTCTACTTCCTAGTTTGTTGGAATGAGGCTAAATGGCAACCACTTAAAAATGGAAATTGAATAAGAATCTTTAAATGACGGCTATAGTTAATGTTTAGTGTGTTCGTGTCCATGCCATACTTTTAAAAACTGATATACTTTTCTGTTCCAAGTCTAAAAATAATTTTTCATTTTGGTCATTCAGTTTTTTAAAATCTGTAGTCTGTCATCTCTTTTTATTAGGAATTATTTTCACTGAGTTAATATTTTAAGATATCCTTTATTTTCTGTATTTAAATACTTCAGTTCATTTACTCCCCTGCCCCTCAACCCAGGGAGATGTCAGCCTTCAAGTACTTTTCATAGGCTCAGATTTTTGGATATATCCTAAATGTTCTTACACCCAAAATTAAATACTTGGGTATAAGGATCTGAACTGGTAGAATTTATTGTTATGTTTAAACTTGTGAGAATTCTTTTTAAGTATGGAGTTAATAGGCTTTAACTGGGAACTAGGGTTAAAACTTTCATCAATCTTCTAAGTGCCTTTAAAAAGAAACCACCTGAAATTAATGGAAAAATGTTAATCCTGCTAGGTGTTTTAAATTATTAAAAAATAACTCCCTGTTTGAGATCTTTTATTACATTCTTTATCTGGGAAGAAAAGAATAGTAGTCAAATTATTAACTCCTGCTAACTTATTAACTTTTACTAATGAGTTTAAAATGCTCTTGCTTTATTGCAAAGTTAGAGGCAAATATTGAAAACCAGTGCTCGAATTATTGGGCCAACCCATGGACAGTTGTTATGAGCAGAACCCTAAGCTTCTGTAAGACAGACTAAAGCATTCTAGACCCCGTATTTAATTGTGTTCATGTCAAAGGGTTACTTTTTTTTTTTTTTTTAAACCAGAAGCTGTCAAATAATTGCCATAGACCTGAAACTAAGACCTGCTGCCTCCTCAGTCTTCATTGTGGGTATGTTAGTGAAGGTGACAGCTAAGCATCTCACTACTGAGAGTATGGGCATCTTTCCCTCAGATCTGTCTATACTGACACTTGCTTTTTTAACCTTAGGAGGTAGCCCTAGAATTGCTGACCACTGCCAAAAACCCAAAACAGATTAAGTTTCAGGTTCTTCATAGAAGTGATTGTTCACGACTAGAAATGTGTTTTTTAGTAGACTATTTACTTCATTAATAAGAATCCCTTAAATTTTAAACTAAGGATTATTGGGAACAGTTTATGTTTTGAATTTAAGAGAGATTATTGACATTCACTAAGGTCTGTAGTTCATTTGGATGCATCTTATATCGTGTGTATGCGTGTTAGTAGCTCAGTCCTGCCTGACTCTTTGTGACCCCGTGGACTGTGGCCCTCCAGCTCCCCTGTGCATGGGATTCTCCAGGGAAGAACACTGGGGCAGGTTGCCATTTCCTTCTCCAGGGGATCTTCCCAACCCAGGGACTGAACCCAGGTCTCCCGCATTCCAGGCAGATTCTTTACCAGCTGAGCCACAGGGAAGCCCTCGCATCTTATATTAAGTAATGTTAACGTGATCAAGAAAGGAAAAAATGTTAATGCTACATTTACAGGTTTTAATTTGCATTAGTGGCTAATTTATTTCAATATTACTAACATGAATGTTTCACAAGGAACATAATTTACCTAAGTAATATGTATAAGAGGGCAGATGATAATATTACCTTTAATGCTTCTGTTGTGTTTTATATGTAGTATGTATAACTGATGGAAGATCGTGAAAGTTAAAATCTTTCTTGATTTTGAGGTTTGGATTTAAATAAAGTTTGCAGGAGTCTTGAACAGGACATTGGGTCTCGGAGGAGAAAACCCCATTCGTGTATCTCCACTGCTTGTGAGGCACATTTCTGTGGTACAGCAGATGATGGACTCCACACAGAAATGGCTGGATTTTTCCAGAGAAAAAAATGCAGTCATCAATTTCTGCTGTTCTTTAAAATTATTTTTTCATTAGAAAAAGGAGTTTTTCAAGTGGAGTAGTTTAGAAAATGGCATGGAGCTATCAAATTAAGTAAAAGAGTAAGTAGACCCAGAATGTTGGCGTGAGTTCCCTGTCTTGAATCTCATCTTTCCTATTTCTCAAGTAAAAAGATGCACGCTACCTTTATGAGTGCGTGTCGCTCAGTCGTGTCTGACTCTTTGCGACCCCGTAGACTGTATAGAGTTGGAAATGACATTCCTTCCCCCGGATAAGGAAATGACAACCCACTCCAGCGTTCTTGCCTGGAGAATCTCACAGACAGAGGAGCCTGGCAGGCTACAGTCCATGGGGTCACAAAAAGTCGGACATGACTGAGCGACTAACACACGAACACCTTTCCTGGTTACAGTAGGGGCTTCCCAGGTGGTGCTAGTGGTAAAGAATCCACCTGCCAAGGCAGGAGACTCAAGAGACACTGGTTTGATCCCTGGATGGGGAAGATCCCCTGGTGAAAGAAATCCCAGTATTCTTGCCTGGAGAATCCCATCGACAGGGGAGCCTGGCGGACTGCAGTCCATGGGGTGGCAAAGAGTTGGACATGACTGAGCGACTGAGTATGCACTATTTACAGTGGACTTCTCAGCTACACAGTAACATGGTTTTACTTTAACAAAAGCTCAAACAGGTTTCTGGTAATAGTATATTAGTCCTGAAAGTGTTTAATCATTGAACACTGAGGCATTTTTTTTTAATAGTATTAGAAATCCTTATTTAATGAAAGCTCTATTACTCTTGCCTAATCCTAAATCTTTATAAACTTTATAAACATGTATTTTCTTTTAAGAGTATATATAGTTATGAATTATCTTTTTATCTTGGAAAAAGTCTATTTGGGGGTATAAGGATAATTCTTTAATTCTTTCCTTATTGTCAGATTAAAGAAAAGCACATTTACAGTAAGTTTTTTAGTTTTAAGAGATGTTATTTTATTTGAATACATCCAAATTCATGTTTCTTAATAGATCAGTAATATAACACCATTGATTATTTATTCTCTTTAAAAAAAAAAAAAGCTTCTTTTCTTCTCCTGGCCTATTGTAAGGCAGAGCTGTCAGCCAGCGGTTGCATCAGGAGCCACAGAAGGGCCCAGCCGCCTGGATATCTTCCAGCCAGCTTTATCTTTTCTTTGAATAGACGAACATGTGCTGCTACCAATTAAGGATATTTAGGTGAAGTTGTCCAAACAAACTTTATCATGAAGACCTTGTCCCTTGATTTTACAAAGCTGAAGTTCTCTTGGGCTCATTACTCTGCAGAATTATAAGCCCAAACATAAAATTCACTTAGAGCAAAAGGGGTTCTGTTTCCAGTTCTAGAGAAATAAAACTGAAGTAGTGGAACTGCCCTATTTTTAAAGGCTTTTAAATGTGTCAGTTTGTTGTTGTTCAGTCGCTAAATCGTGTCCGACTGTTTCTGGCCCGTGGACTGCAGCCCGCCAGGCTCCCCTGTCCTTTACCACCTCCCAGAGTTTGCTCAAATTCATGTCCATTGACTCGGTGATGCGATCCAACCATCGCATCCTCCGCTGCCCTCTGCTTCTGCCTTCCATCTTTCCCAGCATCAGGGTCTTTTCCCATGAGTCAGCTCTTCACATGAGGTGGCCAAAGGATTGGAGTTTCAGCTTCAGCATCAGTCCTTCCAATGAACACCCAGGACTGATCTCCTTTAGGATGGACTGGTTGGATCTCCTTGCAGTCCAAGGGACTCTCAAGAGTCTTCTCCAACACCACAGTTCAAAAGCATCAATTTTTCAGTGCTCAGCTTTCTTCACAGTCCAACTCTCACATCCATACATGACCAGTGGAAAAGCCGTAGCCTTGACCAGACGGACCTTTGTTGGCATGCTTGTTGGTTCACAAATCCTACTGAGGACGGGCATCAGAGGTCGGCGATGCAGGCTGAAGGCCACTCCCTGGCCGAGGCAGGGCGGAGGTTCCTGAGTTTGCAGGTGTGAGACGGCCCAGCGTTGGCGGGCCGGTGCCCACGCCTCCTCCCTTATTCACAGAGGAACTCACAGTCCCCTGAAAAGCTCCTCTCTCTGAAACCTGAACCTCTGACTCCAAAGCAAACCTGGAAGGAAAGTGTCCTGTGCTCAGAAAACAGATAGGAAAGCATCCACCCTTTCAGTCATTACAAGTAAAGGAGAAAGCAGCAAGAGTTGAAATGATTCCATTCAGCTCTGCACACCAAGCCCGGGTCTAGATTTCATTTTCAGAGTGAAGATGTTGCTTCAGGCCTACAGTTAGTACTATAAAAGAAGATTGAAGAGTGTGACGTTCAGGAGTGTGTGTGTTCCACATGCGTATGGATGAGTTTGTGTGTGTATCAGTGAGTGTGCGCCACCAGGTCCTCTGTCCGTGGGATTCTCCAGGCAAAATTACCCCGTCTCTTTATGTCTCCTGCATTGGCAGTTGGGTTCTTTACCACTAGCGCCACCTGGCAAGCCCACATAATAGCTATGAAGGTAACTGCAGGCTTTTATCACGTTTAATCGCTTGCTGTGTGTGGTTGTGTCTCCTGCTTCAGCTACACTTGGTTCACTGGAACAGCAAGTACGGCGACTTTGGAACAGCAGCGAAGCAGCCTGATGGACTGGCTGTTGTAGGTGTTTTTTTGAAGGTTAGTTGATGGCCCAATTCCCCCCCTCCCCGTTTCCAAAAAAGGTGAACTAGACAGAACATTCATAACAAATAGGACATTCTACAGAAAGCCTAGGAAATGCCTTTAGCTCTGTTCCAGGGGATCTTCCCAACCCAGGGATCGAACCCAGGTCTCCCACATTGCAGGCAGATTCTTTACCAGCTGAGCTACAAGGGAAGCCCAAGAATATTGGAGTCGGCAGCCTTTCCCTTCTCCAGCGGATCTTCCCAACCCAGGAATCGCACCGGGTCTCCTGCATTGCAGGCGGTTTCTTTACCATCTGAGCCTCCACGAATGTCTAGGAAATCATGCAAGGAAAATCTGACGAGGGGGATAGCGCTGCTCAGCAAGCAGCCCTGAGAAGCTGCAGCCTGGGAAGAAAGACCCTGATTAAAGGATCAACAGGGGATACAGGAGTCAAGGCAGATTTGGGAGGCAGGGGGGCAGAGGGAAAAGTCAAAAGACGGGGCATTTTGCAAAGGAGGGAAAACAGTAGTGCAAAATCCTGCGTGAAGCTTAAAGCAAGCATTTGAACAGTTCTGGTTACCTTGGCACTTGGAGGTCACTGGTGCCATCTGAGCAGGCGATTTCAGGTGAACCGCGGAGCTGGAAGCAGATTGTCAGTGAAAACAGGGCCACCAGACTAAGACTGACGGGTGGCGTGTAGCTAGTGGTGGTTTTTGCTTCACCATTTGGAGAAATTATACCTTAGAGGTGCCCTAATCAAAAAACGGTGTGGTGCCAACTGTATATACTGTCTTGTCCTTTGTGTCTTTCTATAGGTTGGTGATGCTAACCCAGCTCTCCAGAAAGTCCTTGACGCTCTGGATTCTATTAAAACAAAGGTACAGTTGAATTTTTTGACACCTGCATAAGGTACCTATTTTCCATACCGCACTCACTTTTTAAAATTCTTTTGCTCAAGCTGAGTAGTCTCGGGTTGATAGGTGGTTCTTAGATGAGCCCTTAATAAAGGCAAAATGTTGCTCATATGTTTATTTAACTTATCTTTATCCCACAGTTAATCCTAATGCTTGTATAATTTTCAGACTTGTATTTATTTACTCTTGCTTCATTTGAACATCCATATGCAAGAATCAGAGAAAACCGTGATTGCAAGGAGGCTGAAAGATCACCTGATCCAATTATTTACTCTTCATAAGGCAGATATTTGTTGAGTACTTACTATACGCTGGTCACTTTGTTAGTCTAGGAAATGCAATGGAGAACATGATGAATAAGGTCCTGTTTTGTGACCTCTTTGAATTCATGTTTAAATCTATGTGCTATGGTCATGGAGCATCTGCTTATAAATACTGCTTTTAGCAGCAGCAACCTGGCTTTATCAAACTCATCCTCAAATTAAAGCAGCAAGTCTTCTGAAAGGCTTACCTGTTACCCTGAGCTTGTTCACTGCGGCTTTATTTACAATAGCCAAGACAGAAAGAGGCTAAGCACCCAGTAACAAGTGATGGGTAAAGAAAATGGGGGGTAGATAGATATAGATGGGGCTTCCCAGGTGGCTCAGTGGGTAGAGAATCCACCTGCCGAAGCAGGAGACGTGAGTTTGATCCCTGAGTTGGGACGATCCCATGGAGGAGGGCATGGCAACCCACTCCAGTATTCTTGCTGGGAGAATCAATCCCGTGGACAGAGGAGCCTGGTGGGCTACAGTCCATGGGCTTGCAAAAGAGTCGGATAGGACTGAAGTGACTAAGCTCAAGATATAGATAGACAGATAAAACGGACTCAGCTGTCCAGGAGAATGAAATCATGCCATTTGTGATGACATGGATGGACCTTGAGAGCATTAGGCTAAGTGAGATAAGTTGGATAAAGAAAAACAAATACCAGATGAACTAGTGGAATCTAAACAAATAAGCAAACAAAACAAACACAAAGCCAGCTCACAAATACAGGGGATCGATGGTGGTTGCCAGAAGCAGGAGTGGGGGCCAAAAATGGGTGAGAGGGGTCAAAAGGTACAGATTTCCAGTTATAAAATAAAGACGTTTTGGGATTGACTTATACATAAATCAAAATAAGTGAGAAGGCAATGACAACCCACTCCAGTACTCTTGGCCTGGAGATTCCCATGGACGGAGGAGCCTGGTAGGCTGCAGCCCATGGGGTCACGAAGAGTCAGACACGACTGAGCGGCTTCACTTTCACTTTTCACTTTCATGCACTGGAGAAGGAAATGGCAACCCACTCCAGTGTTCTTGCCTGGAGAATCCCAGGGACGGGGGAGCCTGGTGGGCTGCCGTCTATGGGGTCGCACAGAGTCGGACACCACTGAAGTGACTTAGCAGCATCACAGTGACTATAGTTAATAACACTGTATTGCCTCTTTGAAAGTTGCTAAGAGTAGATTTAAAAGTTCTTATCACAAGAAAATTCTGAAACTTTCTGTTGAGAGATGTTCACTAGACTTCCTATGATCATTTGATAATATGTTCAAATATTGAATCATTACATTGTATTCCTGAAACTAATATATGTCAACTATACATAAAAAAAAAAACCCCAAATCTTCCTTCCACTTGAGCCTGTTTTCTCTCAGCCTTTCACCTACGCCCAAGCTAATTATCTTTGTCCCCTTTAACTAGTCTTACCTGACAGCTGTCTCTTGCAGCAACCTGTCACTCTTCGGACAACTCTTTCCTGTTGCTTCTGTTTCTCTAAAGTGTGGTGTCCAGAGCTCAGTGCAGTTCTTCAGTTCTGGTCGAACCATCAAACAGCACAGCAAGACAGTGACCTCCTCATCGAGGACGCTGTCTACACATTCTGTTCCTGTGCCTTAAAATCGCAGCATTTTGGTGGCAGCAATTTCACTTTAGATACCGGCTAAGATTAGTTAATGACTTAATGAAAAAGATAAGGGATTGTTTGAGAGGACAGGTGAGCAAATGGACAGGTCAGATTGATAGTCAGGTTCTCTTGCTCACATCTGCTAATCTGAGTTCCCATGTCGAATATCTCCTGTTAACTTCTTTTATTCTGTTTTCTGGTGAATATGGAACTTCTCTTTAAAAAAAAAAAAAAAAAAAGGAAGGTTTTTGACTCTCCAAGTTGAATTTTTGTGTGTCCCCTTCTCCTGCGTCCCCCCCACTCTGATCACGTGATGTGTTTTAACCCGGTCTTTGCCTTGTGTTCCAGGGTAAGAGTGCCGACTTCCCCAACTTCGATCCTTCCAGCCTCCTTCCTAGCGCCTTGGACTACTGGACCTACCCCGGCTCACTGACCACCCCTCCTCTCCTCGAAAGCGTGACCTGGGTCGTGCTCAAAGAACCCGTCTCCGTTAGCAGTCAGCAGGTCCGTTCGCTCGGGTTGGGGGGAGCACTTAGTCCAGGCGGAAGGACTGGACCTCTGGAAGCAGACAGATGTGGGCTTTAGCCGTCCTGCCACTTCTGGTGCCGGCAGTAGTGCGTAGCAGATGTAATTAGCACTCACCAAGTACTTCTTGTTGTTAACGATAAGCTTGGGTAATTTTTTCTTTTTACTCTGAAGTTGGGTAACACTGAAGATTACCTAAGAAAAGTGTCTGTCACCCAGTGCATGCTTTTTTGTGCATTAGGAGGAATCTGAAGGCTGGAACAAAGGGATTTTACATTCAAGGCTGCATAGCTATGGGTCATCATTTCCAGCCGACGGCTCACTCACCTAAGATCTGACTGTAGTTTATTTATATCAGAATGCATTCTGGATTCTAACAGAGTTGAAAGTCATCCGTTGGATAAAAAGCATCTATTAAAAGCCACTCCAAGTTGCTTCAGCAGCTTAGACCAGACACGCGTTTCCTATAGAGCATAGTTTGTGCTGTTCAACACGCTGCGGTGACAATGGTTGTGTGTGTTACAGTCGCTGACTTACATGGAAATTGACTTCCTCGGAAATTGACTTCCTCGGAGTTGACCGAGGGAATTTTGTTTGGCAGAGAGATCTGGGTCAAGGCTGTTGATTCACGGGCAGCTGCCTTGCCTCCCAAACCACCATTCTTCTTTTAGATCAAGTCATGCTTAGTGAAAGGGAAGTGACTCTATCAGAAACAGCCTCAGAGAAGGAGGAACCTGGTGGAGGGATGCCTGGGCCACGTCACTCTGCTGGGAACTCACACGAACTTAAAAGGAAATCAGAACTACCCAGAGATGAGGGTTGGAAATCCCAGCCTGGGCAGATTTAATCCTGTGCTTCTGTAAATTTAAGCAGAGATGTCAGCCATCATTCCACCCGGGAGCATGCAAACCTGGGCTCACTTTATCTATCTGTACCCATGCTGATGTGTGTCTTCCCTGGGGCAGAAAACAAAACCTTAATTTGGATCTAGAATTGTTATTATTGCTTTACATTGCCGAAATATTTTATAGGTTTTTGATGTTTGATTATGTAATTAAAAGAGGAAAAAACAAGCTCATTGAAAATTTCCTTCAGATAACAGCAAGATGTAATTTATTCTGTAGAAATTAATTTGTTGTATGAAAGTATATATATGTAATCTATATGTGATTACATATCTGTTGAGGATCAAATTAAATTTTGAACATTGCCATCTGAGACTGTGAATACTGGGAAATGTATTTCAAGATTTAACACAAGCATGATAATTGAATGCTGTAGTGAAACTTGTAATTTTGATGTTTTTCATCTTTAATTTTGTCTTTTAGATGTTGAAATTCCGTGCCCTTAACTTCAACGCGGAGGGTGAGCCTGAACTCCCGATGGTGGACAACTGGCGTCCGGCTCAGCCCCTGAAAAACAGAAAAGTCAGAGGTTTCCCCAGATAAGGCGGCCCTGGGGCAGTGTCCAGGGGAGAGTCTTTGGGCCTCCCGTTAGCTTAGCACAAGTCCACCTTGGTGAACTGGGCCCTTGCTTCTTTGCGTCTGGTTTTCTAGACCCTTCATCTCTCACCTGATGTGCTTACTATTAAAATGTGAAAACCCACACCAATTGTCATGATTGACAGATTTGCTGTGACTGGTGCTTTGCTTATGATAGTAGCCTTTCTGTGACAGAGAATATAAGAACCTGAATTTTGCTCACAGAATGTGGGGTAATGAGCACTCACAATGGTTCACTAAAGTGCTATTTTGAAAATATAAGAAGGCAGGATGATTGAGTGCAAGTCTATATATGGGGATAAATTGAACTGTGTGATATAAATCAGGTAAAGTAGTCTTGATCCTATGTAATGTGAATCAGATAAATGTTTGTGATTCCAAGATGGTATAATAAAGAAAAACTTTAAATTCTTAAATATATTTGTAGCAATGGTATCTTAATTACACTATGATTTAGTGACTTTTGAACTATAGAGATATAAATGAATTATCTATAAAAATTGTTATAGCTGTGATACAGAGTATATTTCCATTCAAATAATATAACTTAATAAATATTGTATTTTAGATACATTCTCTAATAAAATCTGGAATTCTGTCTTGGATTATTTTATTTTACGCTGAGCAGTTGGGTAATGGTGAAGGAGCAAATGTACACTTTTTAAATTCATATTAATTCACTGTAAATAATAAGCCATCATAATTGGCTTACTCATAACCAAGAGTCTCCACAGAAGGAAACACCCTGAAGGTTATCTGTATTTGCCATGTACTCTTGTGAGCTTTCTGAGCACTGGCTCATGTGATCTCCATGAGGGTAGATCCTGAAAAAGGAGAGGAAGTGGTTACTAGAATAGCAGGAAGGGGGGAGGGGAGACTTCCCAAATCAACATATGCTCCTGAGAAATGCAGAAAATAAAAATAAAATAAAAATCTGTCTTATTCAAAAGAGAAATCCCAGTGGTCCCAAAAGTGACAGAGTCATCTGAGTGTTCGGAAGGTGAATCACACCTGTTGCAGGTGGGAAGCAGGGTGAGCAGACGAAACGCCTGTCTCTTCCCCTGACTGTCTTGGATTTCGCTCCATGCCCAGACCCTGGGATGTTTGGCTTATGAGTTACTCTGGGAAGCCAAGTTTAACACATGACTCAGGTTCCACTCTTTGAGGGGAAACCAAACAAAACAAAACAAAAAACCACAACTCTTTGTTACCAGAGATAGAAAAGTGACTAACTCACTCTCACCTGCTTTGCTAAAGAACTGAGCTGAGTTTTCTGTAAAAGAAAGATCCCAAACTTTGGAGTTTGGTGGTCTGCTGTGAATCCCAGCTTCTTCTCAAGCTCTATGATCCTGATGTAAAAAGAGGATAACACCCAGGATATTCATATTATATGAGGTAATGTCTGGTGTATAAGAGGTGGTCGAAAATAATACATTATAAGCTCATGTGTGTGTGTCTGAGTCTGTTAGTTTCCTGGAACAAGGCGTCTCTAATTTGTTGTCTATTGCTTTGGGTAGGGGACCCACAGCAAACCTTAAACAGAATTGCATATGAACTAAAAGTAAATCTACTCCAGGTGAACTGCAGAGGGCCTCTTCTAAATATGAAAAATTTAACGTGTATATTTTTACATACTGGTTTTCAGTTATATGCTGAAGCAGAACCTTGTCAACACTGAGTTCTATATATAGGTGAGTTATGATATTCTTGATGCATAATAAATGATCTCTAAATTTTGTAAATAAAAGTATTTTATACCACTCATAGCCAGAAATACATGTAATCAGGAGATACTATTTTCTTGATCTTTTTTTTTTTTTGGAAGACTTGCACAAATATTCTAATTTATGCCAGTGCTTTTCAGATGTTTCATCAAAATATTCCTTTAAAGCAGAGAAGAAATTCCTTAGGCACAGTTCAGAGCAGATCATTACTTCTTTAGAGTTTCATGTTTTACAAAATTTATTCAAAATGTCCATCCTACTGTGTATTATAGCCATGTTCATTTTTAATATAAAATGTTACAACTGGCTTATTGCAGTTAATAAAATTGGCACTGGGGTATTGTTTATCCTGCAGCTTATTGTCACCTCTGGTTATCAGGTGTACCTGCTGGGACCTAGGTAGCCCCAGTTTGAGAAGCACTGATAAAGTAATGTTGAGAGGCAGGAAAGAATAATTTAAAGCTAAATACTGAGGATTTAGATTATGTTTATTTCTCCAAGGACAGCTGTTAGTTTTAAATGGCTCCTTACTTTAAGGGATATCGTAATTGGTGCTAGTATGTTTACATTTTTGAGCTATATTTGAATTTCTCCTTCGCATCTCACAAATAGGATCCTAACTCAGTTATTCACACTGAATTAGAAGGGAGGTAACACAAATGATACTCTTGCAGGCAGAACAGTGGTCCTCCAAAGATGCCTGCATCCTGAAACTGTGGATGTTACCTTATGTGGTGAAAGAGACTACAAGTTTAGTTACATCAAGGGTTGTGAAAGGAGGAATTCTCCTGAGTCATCTTCACAGGCCCATTGCAATCACTGGGGTTCTGATAAGAGGGAGACAGGAAGGTCGGAGCAGAAGACCTGGGACAGCAGAGGGATCGGCCCTCAGGCCGGGAGCGGGCAGCCTCCAGACTCAGGCAGAGGAGGGCACGGGCGCTTCTCTGGAGCCTCGAGAAAGAACCAGCCCAGCCGACACCCGGATCTTCGCCCTGTAACACCCACTTTGGACTTCGGCCTCTGGAAAGGTCAAATAATACCCCGGTTGTGTTAAGCCACTAAGTTTGTGGGGGAGATTTGTTACAGCAGCAATGAGAACGTAATACAGATGCAGGAATTACGCGACCCTGCGTGTGAAAATAAACGAGGACAGCTGCTTCCCCTGCCCAGCCTGTGAGCCCGGGAGGAGACTGTTCCTCCTCCGCAGCCCTATAACTGAAATCTTGCCCGCTCGTGGATGCCAGGCTCTCAGATCAGGTCCTGACACTGACGCTCAGTCTGTCCCTCAGAAGGGCGTGTGGTTCTGGGGCTTCGGACGCCAAGGACCTCCCGCGCTCGGCGCTGCGGTCAGGACACCTCGGCCTCCCTTGCCGCCTCGGGAGCCCCGGGAGGGCAGCTTTCATTCACAGCTGAGAGCTGTGTGCGCAGCTGGGGCTTGGCCAGTGTGTGTGGGATGGCTTTAGGGAGAGCCTAGCAGAGGAGTGAACTTTGTCCTAGATCTGAAGCCCGCAGCGTGGGTGGGTGTCGGAAGGACCCCTGCGGAGGGATGTGGGTTCTGCCCTTCGTGTGCAAAGAAGACGCAGCTCTTTATTTACGGAGGCTCCCCTCCCCCTCCCCCGGCCCACCCTCATCCACGATCCTCCCCAGGAGTGGTGGCAGGGCGGCTGAAAACTCAAGCTTGCCCCTAAAGAGCATCTCAATGTATCCTGGTTGAAGCAATGTGTTTTTGTAAGGTTTCCTATCTCCAGCTCCACACCAGCCCACGCAGAGGTCACGCCTGGTGACCGGCGCCGGCCTGGGTCTGTAAGAGGTCCCCAGGCCCCGGCCTGCGTGGAGGGGCTCGCTCGGGCCGGGCCTGGCCTCGCTCTGTGTCCGCAGGAGCCTGTCTCATCTGGTCCTGGGAGGCGTCCACAGCTGACTTATCCCCGCCGTCGCCCGATGGCAAAGTCCCGTTGTACCCGACAGCCCTGGGGCGCCTGGGTGGATGCAGACAGACTTCCCGGTGCCCCGGGGGTTGGGAATCTACCCGCCCCTGCAGGGCACACAGGTTGGACCCCTGGTCTTGGAGGACCCCACGTGCCGCCGGGCAGCTGAGCCGGGAGCTTCACATTCTGGAGGCTGTGTGCCTGGAGTGTGTGCCGTGCAAACGAAGACCCCGCGGCCGCAAATAAACCAGCAAATGAATAAACGGACGCGGCATAGAAGGGAAGACCCTTTCGCACGGGAAGAACGGCAAGATCCGCTTCTCTCCTCTGACTCTCGCCCTTGCTTCCCCCTCCTCACCCAGATTTGACCCTGCAGGAATGTGGGGGAGATGAAGGCGTGGGTAGCTGACCTCTTTTCTTACTTTCCCTCCCCTCCTCCTCGTTCCGCTGGCCAGAAGGATAGGCCAGCCCTTCTTCCTGGATGACAGGAAGACTTCCTGTCTTAGCTCTGTTTTTTTCTGGAACCGACATTCACCAGGACGCTTCCCCAGAGTCCTAGTAGCAGATAAAATAAACATGAAGCAAGTTGGTTTCATAGAGGAAGGTCCTTCGGAAAGTATTTCCCAATTTCTACCCACGTTGACCCTAGCAATATGTTGTTACTGAAGACTTAAAGAGATTCCTTTAGCCCGCTTGGTAAAAATCGACAAGATATTTAACCTGTGTTTCTCCCCCTTTCCTCTCCATTCTCTCTCAGTCCTGGACCCCTACTTTCGCTGTGAGATAAACAGTGCTTATATTTGTCAACAAAGGTGGCAGCGTTACTTCTCACCTAGAATTTCTAACAACCTGTTTGATGGCATGAGATGAGAGAATGCCGAAGGCTGTGATGCTAAAAGGCTCATATTCCACAAAGAGAATCACACAACTTACTTTACATGTGTCTCACCCTGAGGTCTGATGGTCCGTCTGTGGGAGTGTGTGGGGGGGGGAGGGGGGGAGGAAATCGCATCACGAGGATGCCTGATGGAGTTACACTCTGCAGAGGAGCATGGTGGCTTCACTGCTGGGGACATGCTCCCCTGGTGGTTCAGCTGGTAAAGAATCTGCCTGCAGTGCAGGAGACCCGGGTTCGATCCCTGGGTCAGGAAGATCCGCTGGAGAAGGGAATGGGAACCCACTCCAGTATCTTTGCCTGGAGAATCCCATGGACAGAGGAGCCTGGCAGGCTATAGTCCAGGGGGCCGCCAAGAGTCAGACACGACTGAGCGAATAACGTCCAACACACTTACAAGGAACAACACCTGGAAAGAGGCTTAGAAGACGCCCCCAGCCCTCAGCCAACAGGGTCCTGCAGCCTCACTGGAGAGACAGCCCAGCACACCCCCTGCCCCTGCACACGGGCCCCCATGGGAGCTGTGGCTGCCAGCCTCTGCCACCCAAGTCACCAGCCCCAGGCACCTGAAGGTCTTGGCCGCACATCTTTGGGCTTTGGACATTTCCGAGGTTTTTGGAGACAGTGTTGCTCCTGGACCTCCTCTTAGAAGAATGAGCCTGGCTTCCTTGCCTGAGGCCAGCACGCCCTCCCAGAGCAGGCCTCTCCAACCCTTGGTCGCTAGTCTTTCTCTCCATCCATTCAAAATGAGTTTCTATTTTGCAAAAGTTTTCAAGTCTGCAAAAGCTTTCAGCACTTTGTTGTCTGAAGCTATTCTCAAAAAGTTCTGGCAGGAGGAATGATGCCTTCCACCTCTGAGACCTGTGTATAAACATAGAATTTCAAAACAATTTTTTGTTAAATACACCCCCCCCCCTGCTGCCCCCCGCCAACAATGGTTGGCAAGCTGTGCTTCTCATGTACAAGTTATCTTATTTATGACTGTCTTGGTTAAGCCACCTGGTTCTTCTAGGAACCAATAATGAAGTAGGGTTTTGTGCTACATCTCTTCCNC